CCTGCACACACAGCACCAAGGAGGGAGAGAACCGCCCAAAGGTAGGAGCTCATGCCCTTCCCAAGCAGGGGTGGGGACAAATTGGCCCCGTGCAGAGGGGTAGAAGAGCCACTCTGGTCACAAAAAAGTTATGCAGTATCTAGTCAATCAAGATGTCTTCCTTCCAGGGACCACAGATCCCCCCGCTGTGAACACCAGCCTGAAAGGAAGCCTTTAGGTGGGAGGGATCTCTGTTCCCAGGCTGCTTTGTACAAACGGGGCCTCCTACCTCACCTGCTCCTGCCTGGTCCAGTCTCCTCCTTGCTGGCTCGGAACAACACTCTCCCTTTGTGTCAGGTCCACATACAATGTGGTCCTGCACAGGTGACTGCCACAAGTGTTAGGGACCCTTAGTTCTTTGCAGAACTGAGTCCCCATCTGCAAGGACCTGCCCAGCAGAGACAGTCAAGATGACTTGGGGACTCACTGAAACCCTGGAGGGAGCGTCCCAGGTCACTGTGAGGACATGGCTCCCAAATGGATAACTCCATGCCACCTCGTCCTGCCACCAAGGCAGCCAGGCCAAGATGTGGCAGCTGGAGAGGCAGGACAAAGGCAATGGCATGCTGATTTTCAAGGAAGAATTCTGGCTTTTCTTACAAAAATGGAGAAAAGAATTTGACTCTTGGGGGAATGTAAGGGAAAGAACATTCTGGTACAATGGCCTCCAGGGGCGTGGAGGAGCACAAGGGCAGTGATTCTGGACAACTGTGGAAAAGCCGATGTGCAACATGCCCTTCTGAAGCACCAGTGATGGCTGGATGGGGTTTAATCTCAAGCAAAATGGCAGGTGTCCCCCCACCCCCAATCCAGCAGATCCCCACTCCACTCCAACTGCAAGAGCGCAGCAACCCAACCCGGACACACACATATTTCACAAACAGCAGGAAATTAGGAGCTCCACCCCCAGAGACAGAGAAACTTGAAAAGGATGAGCTATGTCATATGTTCAAAACTCAAAGTTTTTAAAACAAAAGCCCTCTCGTCTTCCCCTCACTCCATTAGGTTTGCACATCTGCTATGAACGCGGAGGCAATTTAAGCCCTTGTTGATGTGACTAATAGTGTTAGATAATTGGATTTGTGGTGGATTAGTTAAACAGCAGCCAACCGTCCCTGTCCCAGGAGCTCTTGGGTGGAGAGGCAGGCAGGGCCAGCTGTGCTCTGGAGGGCTGCAGTCACAGGCATGGTTGCAGGGAGTGGGGGCCTCTTGTCTAAGGGGTGAGCAGCAGCGGGAGCAGGAAGGAGTCGGGAAAGGTAGGAGGAGTGCCGGGGCGAGGAGAGCCTCGCTTACAGTACGGATCTGAGCATCCCCCGAAGGTCGTGGGCTAAAATCTGCTCCCAGTTGGCCCTACCGGGAGGTGGGGGACTCTTTAGGAGGTGAGGCCCGCAGGTCTTGAGGTCCCTGGGGGTGGGGGGGACAGTGGGACCCCAGCCCTCCACACTCTCCTTTTTCTTCCTGGCCATGAGGTGTGCACCTCATTCCTGCCTGATGGCTGCTGCTGATCACCACGGAGTGACCACCTCCCATAGGGAGCCGCAGTAAGCCTTTTCGTTTCATAAGTTGATTATCTCACTTATTTGTTATGGTGAAAAGCTGACTAACAAAAGATTTTTTCTTCTTTTTTTGCAAGCTTTAGTTTACCTGCCTTAATTTTAAAAACCTATTTACCAGTGACTTAATGGCAAGCTTGAGTGGATGACCATGTGCGGTCTGAAGCAGGCTCTCCTGTGGACCTGGCCCTGCCTGCTGTGCCCTTGCTGGCCTCTACCAAGCCAGACCTGCTCTGTGCCAGAGAAACTGCTTGCATTCATGCCATGAGACTCAATGTGCAAGGCTCCTTCATGGTAGTACTCAAAGAGCTTGGTTTTCCGGGAGAACACTGGAAGGTCTCAAAGCCCCTGCTGGGGAGTGGGTGAGACTGGAAGCAGAACTCATGGCTCCTGCCCACACACCTGGTGGAAGCTGGGGGACAGAAAGCGCTCCCTCCCAGGACTGTCCTGAGATACTCTGAAGCCACAGTGAGACAGCAAGTAGACAAGAAGAATGAGGAAGGGGAACCAGACAGAAGCCAGGCCTCATCCATCTTCATTCCAGCTGCCCTTGGCCTTTACTTTGACCCAAAGACTACTTTTTAAAAATGATGAATGGTGTAGTGTTTTAAAGGCATTTGACCTTATTTTTCTGGGCTAGCGACATTTATCTATATAAACACATTTCCTCCTTTGCCTGATACATATATAAGTATATATTTGGCTTCTATTCTATTTTTACATTTCCAGGGATTGAACTCAGGGCCTCCTGAGTGCTAGGCAAGGCTCTACCACTGAACTACATCCCGACTCCTTTTAATTTTTTCTTCTGAAACAGAATCTGGCTAAGTTGCCGAGGCTGACCTCTAACTTGAGACTCCCCTGCCTTAGCTTCCCTTGAAGGTAAGCACACACCACTGTGCCTGGCTAAATACTGATGCCTGAGTGTTTTGAAAGCTCCTGGCAGTGTTTGTAATATGCAGTCAGGGCTAGGAACCAAAGCTAACTTTCCCCCCTGTGTTAGGATTGAACCTGATTCTTTCATAGCACTTTCCATAAACTCTTTCTTTGGGCTTGATTTACATAAAATTCAAAAAGTGATATAAATTTTCTGACTAGGAAAAGTAGTTTAAATTATAATTTGTAGTTTCAGTGGGTTGGCAGTGAGATTGGGACCATGATCTGGAGCCAGCAGCAATGAATGTAGATGGGGCGTATCCTACAGTACTGATTCCAAACATTTTGGCAATGATGTCAAAAGTTACAAAATTACTTTGAATCAGCAATTGCATTTCTGAGAATGTATGCTGGGCAAACTTTCGAGATGAATTTGAGCTGTGTGCTTAAATGTGCTCACGGCACAGTTATTCACAGTAGTGACAATCTGCCAAGGATCCAGATGCCTGCAGTAGGGAATGGATCAGTCCAGGACAGTCACTCTATTCCATGAGAGGCAACACTCATTAAAATCAGTCACTACCTTGCAATCAAGGACAGGGTCTCTAATATATTGTCAAACATATAGTGTTAGAAAGGAAGGAAGGAAGGAAGGAAGAAAATAAGAAAAAAGAAAAGAAAGAAAAATAAAAAACCTAGCTACAATATTGCACACACATAGGGAAACATACTTGTAAAGAAACAGGACATTTCATGTGCACTGATGACCTATCAATGAGAGCAACAAGACAGTTCTTCTGGTGTGTTTTTTTTTTTTTTAAATGTCTTCTCTTTAATTTTATAAAAAATAAATAAGAGAAGACCTTCCTCTCCCATGTAAAAAAAAGAAGGAATCAGGAAGGCAGGAAGAAATGAAGGAAAAGACTGATGTTACATTTGGGAAAATAAAATACAGCTCCTCTGTTGTCCACACTGGAGTAGTTCCACATAGCAACTACCAGTCATGTTGTAAAGGCAGCAGAGGGGTCAAAGTGCAAGCACAATGACATCCCAGCCAGGGATCCTCTGTGCTTGGAGGGTATTATGGGTGTGCAGAGGTCAAGAGGTCAAGGGCAAAAACTCCTCCAACAATCAGACTCTGTTCTTGTGCTCCCTGGAGCTTCAGGGGTCAATCCCCAAAAAAAGGCCAAGCCAGGCTATGTGCAGTGTGGGGCCTGCACTGGGAGCTACCTGCTGCCCGGGGTGCAGCACGGAGACGGTGATCATGGCTGGGTTTCTCACCTCACAACAAGGCACAGCCACAGAGACACACCCTTCACGGTGCCCGGTACTCTGATACAGGATTTACAGGCCTGCTTTTATTCCACTTTCACAAGAGCCCTTTGGGCACAGCCCATTTTATGCCTATGTTAGAGCTCTGAATTGGAGACATAAAGAGACCAGTGATTTGTTCAACATCCAGGGACTTTGCTGAGCCCAGGAATCCCTGTCTACCTGACTGGGGAGTCTGGATTCAGCTCCCGCTCGGAGTGGCAGGTTCCTTTTGTTTTGCAATTCTCTTGCCTGTTCTAGGAAATAGCAAATGGTTCTTCACGGATTCTGCCTTTGTACAATAATGGAGAAGTCTACCAATGAACATCTGAACTGTTCAAAGCTCCCTTAAAAATATAGAGTACAAAGATGGGTAAAGAAACTCTACCTTCAACATTAGAAACCACTACAATCACACTACTTTAACAGATGCAGTTTTCATTTCCTTTCGAAGTAGGACTCTTTCTCAAAATTCTCCAGAAATCCATGCAGGTTGCTCAGCATGCCAACTTGCCTGAGTTGCTGTATTTTCTAAAAGCTAACTTTTTTAGGAGTCTTTTTTTTTCTTCAATAGAAGAGGCCTTGCCATTTGGACATTCAGGGGCATGTGCAAACGTATGAGAGCACCTGTGCACACGTGTGTGCGAGTGCGCAGACTGCAGGAACATTAAGCTTACTTTCATGGGATGGAGGGAAGGAGATTTTGTTACTTGCTAAGAGTAAATTATGCAGAGATGCCCTTCATGCTTTCACAGTGTTTCAAGCACTCTCTTTGAGGAATTCCCATCAGCCCCACCGCACAAATAAAAGATCCGGATGCATACATGGAAGAATTAAAGTAAAGAGTTTAAACTTTAAAGTAACATTACTATGCAATACGCAGCCAGTCTGACAGAATACAGTAAATAACATTTGCTCAGACACTTTACCATGCACAAAGCATGCAGGGTGAGAAAGAGACTTTGACCCAGGGTTTAATGTCTAAGTCCAGATAAAAATGAGCAAATAAAAGCAAAGGTTTAGAACAGTCCCTCCCCACAGATGACGAGAAAGAATGACAACTTAGCCAACAAGGAAAATCCCAGGCCTTTCCCCCTTGAGCTGCAGGGAATTTTCACGTTTACCACCTTTAACACTAGAACCTTCTTTGCATCTCTTTCAGGGTTTCCAGGCTGACCCAATCAGGCCCCCGCTGGCCACGGTGCACATGTGTGCCCTTACCATTTGGAAGCTTCGAGTCGAATGGAATTCACACTGCATCATATCAAAGAAGATGGGGATGGTGGCTTTGCGCAGTTCCGTCTCAGGAATGAGTGTCATTTCTAATATTGGGCCAACCATTTCTGGAATGAACTTTATCTTATGTTGACCTTGGAATAAAGAAATGTACTATTCAGAAATAAAAAAAGCATTCAAACACGGGCTTAACTTCACAAAACAAAACAATGTGACATTGCACAGGAGATCTTGGGAATTTTCCCATACTTCTCACCTGTAGACAACAAACTTGAGAACCTCCAGCATTTTGCATAGGAAGTGGGCTGTCTTCCCAGTGTTACAAGGGAAGCCATTCAAAGCCCATCCAATGGAAGGCCTGTGATCACGACTTGTGCATCGCAGCAGAGCAGCCGCTGTTCCCATACCCAGCTGCATGATCAAGGGCCTGAGCAGCCACCTGACAGCCAGCTTTGGAAGGGGTGGGGACTGGGATCCGAGGGCCAGCATCTCATTTGCAGACAATGACAAGAACAGAAGTGGACAGGGGAAGGCGCAGGTGGTCTCTTGGGCCCTTACTATCGCCGGCGTCTCATGAAAGTTTACCATGTGGCACCTCTGTAGGTAATGCAGAGTGACTTCTATGACATTCCAAATGATCACAACCAAAGGAACCAAGAACAGCCATCAGAACTTGGGCAGCAGAAACAGGAACAATTCTACCTGCTGTGGCTATTGGCTGATAGGAAAAGGCTTATTTAAAGAACTACATTATTAGTCCCAGCTCACCTATCTGTCCAGAAACGACTTTTAAAGAATTCAAGAAAATGTTTCTTCAAAGGCTTTTTTAAAAACAAAATCATAATAATGAGTGTTATGTTAGCTAACATCACTAATCATGGGCTGCAGACAAGCCTCCGAGGAAGCACCTTCTCATGGACTCCTCACGAGAGCCTCATGAGACAGGCACCTTTCCAACCCATTTTACAGACGAGGACCCAGGGCTGTCTCCATGGCTGCTCAGGGAGCTGCATGGGACCCGCTCAGGGACCTGGAATAGCAGGATTTAGACTGGCTCTGAGACTCTGGCCCTTCAGCTTTGGCCTCATTTTACTGATCCCTTCCCTGTCTGCTGGGCCCAGGATCTCTGAGCAACATTCAGACCCTGCCCACCTCTCTGCAGCAGAATCAGTGCACCCTGTCCATGCCCCTCCTGAAGTCAGCAACCTCTCGTCTTACCCAGCATCGTTGGAATATTACAGTTCTAAGATAAATCCCTCAGCAAGTAGAATGGCTTCTTACAAGCACCAAAACTTTCATTTCAATGGTTTTTGCTGGAAATCTTGGCACTGCACTTTTGTGGGTCTCTGTCATTGGCTCTGATGGCAGCTCAGAAGCAGCACTGGAAAATCCGGCGGCTGAGCCTAGAGACCCCAGCAGCTAGACTGAGTGGTCAGCCCCTCTTTCCTGCTAGCTTGTGGGTCTGCTGCCACTGTGCCCCACCCTGCAGTGGCCCCAGTGCCCTTTGGCTGTTCTGCCTCTAAGTTCCTGAGGTCTGGTAACCTAAGTGACCTTACAGAGCTTTAAGTGAATGAGGAAGGCAGAAGGACAGAGAGGTGGCAACCCCAAGGTTCCTTCACGACCTGGTCACTGGGCCTCTGCAACAAAGCTTATGGGAAACATTCTGCTCCACACAGGGGCCACTGTCAGGACAAAATACAGAGGGGTCCATCAAGAAGGGGTCCTTTAGAACCCCACCTAATAATCGTCTTTCATCTCCGAAATCTTCACTTATCTTCAAATCACTCCCAGATAACTAACATCATTTCATTTCCAGCACATAAAAGAAAAATGTGCAAGAAGTTAGATGCTTGAATGAATTATTTGTGACATTTTGCTATGAACACCAATACTTTATCCAGAGTTAATCAATCTTCCTAATTCTTTTACACAATCAGGAAACAAGATGGATACCCTAAAGAATTTAGTATTCTTTACAATTCAACTCATACAGATTTCCACAAAGAGAATCATCAAACAAATTTGGCTACTATAAATAACTATACTTAAGAAAATACATAATCCTCCTACTAGCCTAAACAAAATTTTTCTAGGGACACACACACACACACACACACACAATGTAACTTTCTATAAGGAGCCTGCATTTATTCATATCTGACTTTCAGCTTTTACTAAATCATTAATATTTAGACTGAGGCTGTTACAGCATGAGTCTCATCCTCGCCCAGCTGCTTAATGTTTCTGGAAGGCCTGTAACTGCTGGAAAGCATTCTCTTGAAAATGCCATTAGATTCCATCTCTCAGGTGACGCTTTCCTTGTATTATGCCGAAAAAATGTCAGAGCCAATGTTTCAGAAAACAGATGATAGTGACAGCGAGTTGCTCATCAACCACGATTTCAGCATCATAAAGTTCTGCGTGTCACCAATCGCTTTTAGCGTTCCAAGCTAGGAGGAAGGTGAAGGCAGGCACAAGTGGGTGTAGATGTGGAGATGGGAAAACCATGTTACAAAGACCTGGGCGCCACCCTTCCACTAGGGGGGGAAGCACGCTGGGCTGGAGGGGCCGGGGTTCTGGGGACTGAGCACCAGCTAATGGTAGATGATGCTCACGCTCCTCCAGCCCCTCAACCAACTCTTCCCTATGGCTCACCTCTTTCCTTCCTTCCTTTTTAACGTCTGCACCCTGGCTTTCCCTGGGAGCAAGTCTAGCTCAAACTTAATGATGAACTCGGGTTTTAACCATGAGGAGATTCCTGCAGTGTAGACCTCAAGAAAAAGAGGATGCATCTTTCTTCTCCTTTGGAGACAGAGGAAGAGCAAGCCACTCACTGCACCTCTGGCCATCTGGCCAGTCCCTAAGACTCCCTGGAGTCTCTATTCATGGAACTGCTTCCCAGGGAGCTGACTTGCTCTGGAAGGCAGGCCCTCCCCAAGCAGCAGCCTCCACAGTGTCCGGATGACAGCTCTACAGTCACCAGTGTTCAGAAATCCAGGCATGAAACAGTCTTAACCCAGGAAAATCTCCCTACACAGGAGCAGGCAGGGCAAAAATCCCACCAGCCGACCAAGACTACCAGGCCACACCGAGCAGTGTTGGGGTGGGCTCCGAGGAGAGCACAAAATTTACTCAGGCCCCGAAAACACTCCTATAGGAAGTCCTGCAAGAAAAACATCCCAAACCAAATCAGCCATTAAAGACCTTGCTGTGGACACATTGGTTCTGGCCGACAGGAGGCAGGTGTCTGCTGGCTCTGGTGCTGAGGTAGGAAGGCAGGAGAGGTGCTCAGCAGGCTGCCTGGGAGTGAGCTTTGATACATAACTGAAGAGCCAGGTACACCACATCCCTGCTTTATTCTTTGGAAAGAGAGTCTGCCTTTGATGTCCCCTTTCACACTCAAAATATGAAAGGCCCTGGAGGGAAAGCACCATGCCCGCCCCTGGGGGAGGTGCCCTGTTTATGATTGTGTCAGATTGAGCAGAAAAGCCCAGGTTCCTGCTCTGAGGCTGGGCTTGGAGGTGCACTCAGACCCTTCATCTCAAGGGACCACAGGGAACACTGGAAGATCCAGGGAAGAAGTGGTGTCCTGGAGCCTTCTGCACAAGGCCTGACCGAGTGACAGGTGACTAATTATAAGATGATAAATGTATCTGATCTGACTTCTATTTTTATTTTCTTGGCACAGCCAACTCTAGCAGTCTGCCAAAATATTCCCGAACCTGAGCCCATTGGAAAAAAATAAAAAGCTGTGTAGAAAGTAAGTTGTGCATATCCTGAGATGTGCCATCATGAGTTTTGAGAATGGCACCCTGCACAATGACTCCTGTGGTCAGGTTTCACCATCTGGGACCCATAGTAGGCAGGGGCCACTGCCTGAGGTGGCCCTTGGAGGTATTCTCAGGTGCTGCCTGAGATGATCCCTAGGCAGCAGATACCTTTATTATTATTTCTCTAACTTTTAAACATTTCATTCTTTTCTTAGCAAGGAACCCGACCTGGTAGTAATGGTTATTACTTGGCCAAGGACATGGTTTCCTATTGACCTCTTGGCTACATCTCAGGCCACAGCTGATGTTCTCAGCTGAAGATCTGCAAAACACACCTCTTATACATTGATCACTATATTCAAATCAGCAAGTGACAGGTTCAAACGAGGGGATTTTCTCTCTTAACTGCATCCTTTATGCTACAAATCAAAAGTCTCCTCTCGCCGGGCTCCGCTTATTTGGAACATAATGACAGATAATGTCCAGAGAACAAGCTGCTCTGAAACGGCTTTAGAAATGTGAGCCAGACCTGAGTGGGTTTCTCTAAGGACCAATGTAGCCCATGGGAGAAGCATGAGAGAAACTCACACCCCTCTTCCCCCTCTTTGCTTTCTTCATTGCTATCACAGAAAATGGCAAAAAAAAAAAAAAAAAAAAGGAAAGAAATGGATCCAGTTTTGATGGTGGTCAATCTCAGGGATTCCAGAGTAACATTAAAAATACTTTAAAAAAAAAAGAAAATCCAACACATGCTGTCGGGGTGTGGCCCTGGGGTAGACCACTTGCCTAGCAAGCACAGGGCCCCACAGAAAAATAAAGAGAAAGAAACAAAGAACAAAAAATAAGACACAAAAACTGAAGTGGAGAAAGCACAAAAGCACCCATCAGGATGACCACTGGCCAGCTGTTGCTTGAGCTGGGTTCTGGAGTGTCCCTCTTCTGCAGGCAGTGACCCTGTGGTGGAGGGCCCTTCAGGGATGGGAGGAACCTTGGGAGGTTTGCGGGGCCAGGGAGAGCCATGTGGTCACTGCAGCCACTTTTGCAGTGAGAAGGAAGTGCTTCAGTGTGCACACAGGTCTCTGCCCCTGCCAGGGTGGGCACCTCTCTCATCTTAGATGAAAAACAGGATCAAGCCATTCGAGCAGGAAGTGCCTTCATTTGAAAGCACGTGTGGGCCTGTCCCCACGGGGGTGGGGGGGTGTAGTCCCACTCTTTCAGAAAGGGCTCAGGTAGAAGATGGCCTCAGAGAGAGGACTGTCTAGGAGAGCCAAGTGTCTGCACTGAGAGTCCAACCTGGCAGGCAGAGCCCATGTCACCTCCTTCGCTAATGCTGGGCCTAGCAAAGCCCTGGACTCCCTGTCCCCTAGCAAGAGCCAGCATCTCCCTGAAAGCCACCTCTCCAAAAGTCCCTTTGGTCTGCCTGCCTGTCTCATGGGGCTGCCCCCTGTCCCTGTCTGGCACAAGTCCTGTCTCTGGCTGCCAGGGCAAATGACAAATGCATCTGTCGCGGCATGATTTTAAGAAGAAACACAGAGAGATCAATTGGAGTGAATCACAAACGGTCCTCTGCTCTGCTCCAAAACCTTAACATTTGATGGCTGAGATCATCATGCATTTATGCCCTAGAACATCTGAGCCTTGCACTGGAAGGCTCCTGAACCCTTCAGCCCTAGCTCCTTCCCTCACAAGCCAGAGAGCTGAGTCAGGGCAGCGGGGGACCAAGCCCCCTGACTCAGGCCGCCTGGGCAAGGCAGGGGGGCAGGGAGGGGTGGAGTACCCAGGTGGGGCGTACTGGGTCTCTTGACCCCAAGGGTTCCCACTCTGCCCCCAGGAGCACCAGGAGCACCAGGACAGGATGGCCACTGCAGGATTCTTGCCACAGAGACGAGTGGCCTCTGGTAGCTCAGAGCCTGTACTCAGGTCCTGCAGTTGTCACCTGCAAAACCCCAGCACAGAGTGTCTTTATGGGGTCCTCGGTGGCCTCCAGTGCTGACACCTGGGGCATGTGGGCCTGTGCAGGTTCTGTCCCTGAGAGGGCACAGGGGACAGGGCCACTTTGATGCTCTGAATCCCTGCCTGGGGCTCTCACGGCAGAATCTTGCTTCTGGAAGTGTAACTGGGGTCAAGTGGGACTCCCACACTGTCGGCATGGCCCACAGAGTGTCCTGGTCTTGTTTTTCAAGGGGTTTGGCATTTCTATTTTGGGGTGAAAATCCATTTGAAAAAACTCCATTCGTTATTTAATCGGAAGGACAACTTTTGGAAGTTCTCTTAACTTTCCCTGGAGACAAGATGAGGCCACTCTTTCTGTGTCTGCTGACTGCGGAGGCGAGGTGTCAAGAGCCCTTCCAAGGGAGTCTCAGAGGTCACCGAGAGCTTGCTGGCCACACAGGCATGGCCTGCAGAGCCTGCTGCTGTGCTCCCGGCTGTCCAGGAGGGCGCTGGAGTCCGTGCTCAGAGTTCAGCACTTGTTCTCTCTGCATCTTCCTAACCCCACTTTCTAGGCGCTGCCCAGAGCCAGCACTCACTCAAGAGCCAGCGGCCGGCTGTGGCTCTGTTCCCCAGCCCCACAGGAACAGGTGGCATCCTGCACAGGGGAAGCGAGATGAAGTGGACAGGGAAAAGAGTCTCTGGGACAGAGGCGAGAGCAAGGCCCCCCTCAGGAAAGCCATCTCCCAGGCCACCCGAGAGGAAGAAGCACAGCCCTGATGATTCTGAGGCAGGAATACAACGGAAGCCTTGCTCAGGACCTCCAAGGCCACCAGCCCCTCCTGGCCTGGGACACCTCTGCCTCAGGCCAGTTGAAGAGCAGAGAGCAGGCCAGAAAGAGAGCAATCTCAACATAGGCCAGGTTCTTGGAGGGCTCAATAAAGGCAGGGGGAAGATCCCAATTTGTCACCAGTCACATTTCTTTCAGGAGCCTCTCTAAAAGAACTAGACCTTGTATTGGCTACAATTCAATAAAGAGTTCCTTGTGGTTGTGGATGATAAAAGCAGGTGGGAACGCTGTCTTCACTTACAAACAAAGCTGTATCAATTTCCTATGATAAGTGCACATATGACTTATTATTGCCTCAGCTGCAGGAGCACATTATGCTCCCACCACTTGGTGGCAGTGTACCTAAACACCGCATCCAGGTTTGAGCGGTCCATGAACTCGTTAGATGTTAAATTCTGCAAATCTGAACACAGTCAGTGGTGGCAAAGGTCACAGCGGGATGGGCTGCAGGATTTGAGACCTGAGCAGTTTCCAGGGCAATGGCGCCTGCAGCAGAGTGTTCACCAGACACCAGGGGGTACTCTCCTGGATGCTCTATTTCCCCACCAATCAGATTGTCTCTCCTCTCCCTTGGCCTGTCTCTCAACTACTGAAAACTATGAATGCGGAGAAGAGTAATTGCTGCCCAGGAACAGAAGCAGTCAGGTTGAGCTGTCCCAACGCTGCTGACCAGGGCTAGGGGCATGACCTGGCTGGGAGTCATGATGCGCCCCCCCACCCCGAGCCTGGCCACTCACCAAGGTTGTACCACATGTCTCTGATTTCAAAGCCGATCTGCCTCCTCATGTCTCCATACCTGGGAACAAGGGGAAGGAAAAATGCTCAGTCACTGGGAGCGTCTGAAACTCCGGCTCCAGCAAATGCAACTAATGTCTCCCTCATTGACAAATGAAGGGTGAGTTGGAGCTCCAACTTCCGTTGCCACCAAAAGGCATCGCAGGTGGTGGAATCCGGGATCTCACTTTCTGTGGGTAAAGTGTGGGGAGGGTGGTTGCTTGCTTCAGTCCCCAGGCTCCGGGGCCTCGGGGGAAGTTTGTTGTGTATGCATGCCGTTAGCATTTAGATGCCAAATCGCACACCCCACCACACACATAGCCTTCTATGTTAAAATTAAACCCGGAAGAAAGGGAAAGCACATCCAGATTTCTCCTATTCTTCGACATCACTTTAAATGTAAGGAATGACTTAACACCAAAACATGTCAACGAATGTTCCACCGGATTTTGTTTATTAGGGAAAATAAATGCTAATTTTCCTCCCGGTGGGTGAACAGAGGAGGTGTGTGTTTCATGAGTAAACAGAATTTGATGCTTCAGAAGATAAAGCTTTATTAGTTTGTGAGCAATTTAACTTTTTCCTTTATTGCCTAAGGAAAAAGCTGATTATATTAAAAATAATAATTTGCAAAATTATCATACAGTATTGCGGTTTAGCAGCTGCTTCGAGGAGCTCGCTGTTTGTCCTCCTGGCAGCTGACGAACAAAGGGAAGCCGATCGCAGATGAGCGCTCCGCAGCTCTTGAGGCCAAGATGGGGCTGGTAAATCAAGCGCCCCACCTGCCACCACCTTATTAAAGTCTCTGGTGCCCCAAGCTCCTGTCTGTCACTCATGGCAGGAGGGTTCCAGCCCTGTGCTCATCTCTCCCTGGGAAGCGACTCTAGGCAGAGAGTCTCTGGGGGTGGAGGACTCAAGATGGAGACTGAACTGGGAGCCCAGCCTCTTGCTCCCAGGGTCAGCTGTTACCTGCAAGCCTGGCCAGCACTCAGGTGAATGCAAAGCAGGTACTCTGTGAATGGGGGTGGGGGTCCTCAGCTAGCAACATGGCCATACCCAAGGCTATGGTGAACAAAGGTCTGTCACAGACAACAGAGCCCCTGACTCAAGTTCATGGGTGACAGAGAAGCATCCTTCCACATATAACTGAGGCACCCCAAATTGCCAGGCACTGTGCCACCGGAACACTGTTAAGCTCTGCTTCCTTTGGGGGTCTCCTGATTCCCTTTTGTGCCCTGGCACCATGAGAGGGGCACCCCAGCAGCCGCACAGCCCAAGCTGGGGAGGATGCAGCTGGCTTTGTGGTGACCTGGTCTCGTCATCCTCCTGGCGTTTATGGGGAAGGGGTGTAGAAGGCAAAGCTGTGTCCACGCCCAGTGCAACCTCCTCTGGGGGTGGTCATTCTCACTGTCCAGGTGGTCGAGTCTCTTCCAGCCAAGCATACATCCCACAAGCTTGGAACACAAGGTGGCCCCAGACACAAATGTCCCCAGCCTCTGTTCAGACCCTCAACACACCCAGGAGGCCAGCCACCCAGAGGAGGTGGAAGCCCTGTGCAGGGGGTGGACCTCTTGGCTGCTCCCTCAAGCCCTGGACACTCCACATCCCAGCCACAGGGGACTCTGTATCCTTCTTGGATTGCGCCTCTGCAAGACCAGCACAGCCCGACATCAGGCTGAGCGCCGGGGCTCCCCGCTGCTCCACCCCTGCCTCAGCTCCTCTCGGGTCCTAGGATGGGGACAGTTACAGCGACTCAAAGGAAATCCTAAGGTTTGGAAATCCATGCACAGGAGACCAGAGGCAGCCATGGGGGCACCTTGCAGTGACCCAAGGTGGCTCTCTATCTGGGTCTCCCTGGCAGCCAGACTGATTTTAAGTTTTAATAAGAAGGAAGCTCAACATGCCTCGGTCATCCCCCAGAAGTCACGGCTCTCATGAGAGCTCGGTGGGCCTCCGGTGCTCCCGGGTTCCTCCCCTGGAGGAGGGAAAGGTCTCAGTGGCCTGTGTCTGGGCTGAGGCTCATTATTGGAGCTGGTGGCGACCATCCAGATCATGGTTAAATTCCTCCTGAAATCTGCAATCCAGGGATCTGGGCAGAGACAGCCACAGTGGGAATGAGGAGAGAAGGGTCCAAGTGCCCAGGCCCCAGGCCACTGTCTTCCTGCACATCTTGGGGTGCAGAAACGCTGCACAGCACAGCACCGAGCTCTGGCTTTCGCAGCACTTTGCTGTGTCTCCATCCTCCCTAGGACCGTGGGGCAAGCAGGCAGACCTGGCCCAATGCTCTTCCAAGGAACAAGTTGCAGTCCAGCGTGCAGAACCGACAGGTATAGGGCCACGAAGACAGAAAGAAGGTCAGGAGCTGGAGGCGCCTGGCTGTCAGTGCTTCTCAGCACACCCAGCTTGCCTGTGTCCACCTGCAAATGGGGCACAGGGGCATATGCTTGGGAGGGAGCTGTTCCACCCCCAGGACAGCTAGGATCCTACATCCAGACCTACCTCTTATCCCAAGGAACAGAAAAACCATGTCCCCCAGAGATAGCCCAGACTTGGAGGTGAGGTCAACCTGAGCCCAAATCTAAGCACAACTGCAAATTGCTTGATCACTCTGACCCTCAGTCTCTTCCATAGTACTGGCAAAGTTCATTCCCAGGCTTTAGTGAAGGATAAGAGGGGAGCCCTGGTGTGAGCAAGCACATGAGGCAGTCTAGGTTTCTGTTTCAAGCCTCAGACTGGACCTCATCTCAGCACCCTCACCAGGGTCCCAGTGGTTGTTTAGACTGAGTCTACTAGTGAACATTCAATGAGCATTTCAGACAAGACCCACGAGCCCAGGGAACTAGCCAACGATCACGCAAGACATAAACACACGTTGTGCACATCGCACCTGTGAGTGTGACCTCACTTGGAAATAGGGCTGTGCAGATGCAATCTAGCTGAGTAGCATGGTCCCTAAATCCAACCACTGGGGTCCTCACAAGGAGGGGAAGATGTACAGACAGACACGTGGGAAGGCTCATGGAAGAGCCTATTCTGAAGACACGGCAGGGACTGAGCTAGCAGTCATAAGCAAAGGGATGCCAAGGACTGGGGACGGCCACCAGAAGCCGGAGAGGCCTGGGACACATTCTCCCTCTGAGCCACAGGAAGAGCCCACCCAGCTGGCATCCGGAGCTCAGACTTCCAGCCTCTGTGACCATGAGGCGGCAAGTTTCTGTGGTTCCGAGACAGGCAGCTTTCATTCACTGTCAAGGCAGATGGACCTCGGTCATTAATGCAGTGAGTGACCCATCCAGTTAATATGCTGGCCAGCAGGTGGTTGGGACCCACCGGGGGAATGTGCCCTTAAAGAGACAGGATGAGAAGACCTGAGACAGACCTGAGATCCAGCACTCCCCCTCAAGGGGACAGGCACGGCCAGGAGAAAGGCCCAGAGAGACCGGGCAGTGAGTGGGGAGTGTGCACAGCCACAGAGCTGTGGTTGGGCTGTGGTGCCCCTGAGGTTGGTGTGCTGGGGCTCGGTCTGCAGTGGGACCACTGAGGGAGGAGGAGACCTGATCAGGTCATGCGGTGCCACCCTGAGACCGGAGCGATGTCCCAGAGAGACTGGTTTAGCTCCCCAGACTGGCTCAGGTCCTCAGGGAGGCAACCGCTCTCTTAGGAGTGGGTTGGGCATCCTGGACAGTCAGGTCTCAAGGCTGGACGAGTCTCCAGATAGAGGGCCATCAGGAAGCAGCTGGCCTCCATCTCTCTCACATGTGCGCCCCTACTACACCTCACTTCCATCCCCACTCCTCACCCCATGGTGACACAGCACAGGGCCCTCACCAGAAGCTGAGCAGGTGCTGGCACCATGCTCTTGAAATTTCCCATCTCCAAAGCCACTAGACCCAATAAACCTCCTCTTTTTGATAAAGCAACTGGCATAAGGTATTTTGTCATAGCAACACAAAAGGGACCAAGATAAGGGAAAGGACGACAGTGTTGAAGGATCTGGGGAGAACAATGGAGAGGACTGAACCCTGCCTCCCTGAATGAAGGCCTTCCCACCTGGCCAGGGGTGCTGAGGACCACAGGGCTGTAGCAGGAGCTTGGGGTGATGTCAGGGGAGCAAGGGACAGAGAGGCAGGGAGGGGGCTGAGAGCAGGTGAGGCATCTGCATCTTGATGACAAAGTCAGCAGGTTCCTGGAAAGGCAAGAGGGGACGGGAGCCCAGGTGGGAGCACCAGGAACCTTCCTCGTTAGATGCAGGGCTGACGTGAGGGCGCCAGCCACCAGGGCCGGAGAGTTCCCACTTAGGAAGTCTCCCTGGGTCTCCTTCTAATTCTCAAAGTGAATTTGTTTTGAGTCATGAGTCTCTTGGAAAACAAATCAGCACAAACACAAATTAAATGGATATTTCCTGTTATAATCTGTGATATAGAATCATAGCTGCCGATTAGGTCACACTGCAAGACGGGGCTTGTCACGGCACATCAACTTCCTCCTAGTTTCCACATGACGTCCTGCCTACAGCTGGATGGAGCCCAGGGGCCCCTCAGAGCCCACGGTGTGGGACCGGACGTGGTGTTTTGGTCAGTTGCAAACCTGCCCTTTGAGGAGGTGGTGGACTTACGTGGGGACAGCCCACAGTCTAAGTGGGGAGAGGGTCTCGTGGAGGGCGGTCTCTGCACACCCTCAAGGGCACAGCGGGCCTTTGCCACTGGCTGCATCTTCTCATGCTAGAAATTTTCAGGGGCCTTTGATGCTCAGATGTGCTGGGAGCCAAAACTGGGAGCTGTTTTTCCTTCTGAAACAAAGTCCTGAAGAAGCTCTTTTGCCACATGGTCCCACAGGAGGACACACGGTGACTGGCATACTAAAACTGTCAAGCTGGCTACTAATCAAAAGTCCACTCCAATGCGTTTTACTCATACTTCTTGAGCCCTAAAAAACATACAGGGCTGGAGGAGGGAAGGAAACAGCCACGGCAGAGCTAGCATTCCGTTGACACCTCGGTCAGCCCTTGAGTCACTAGCACCCCGAGGACGTCTGAGGCTTCAGCCAGCTAAGTTTTCTTATTATGCACTTTGATTCTGGGGTTGCCTGTTCTGTGGATCACTGACCAGTTCTGTGCTCAGTTCGGGTTTGTAGTCAGTCCTCAGTGAGGCAAGGCCCACTCCTGGGTGTCACCCCATTCACTGTGGGGAACGGAGATCCCCAGCATCGGGAGGGCGGAGCACTACACGGTGGGATGCGCGGGCAGCCTCTGGGACTATAATTTCCTACTATTTGAGGCACAACACTGTGGACCAAGCAGAGATGAGAAGGTGCTGGGCTTGTTGTGAAAATGGAGGAAAGGGGTGGAAGATGCTCCTGGAGATTCCTTTGGAGAGAGCCCAGGGGCAGCAGAGGGCAGGCGTGGAGACAGTCCCGAGGATGCCCCTTGACATGGGTTCTCTGCAGAGCCTGGGTTCTCCACTAGGCGAAGATAAGCACGTGCAACCTGCTCCGCTGAGCCCCAAGTCGGCATCCAGCCCTGGCTCAGACCCACAGGGTCCCCAATCCCCAGCCCCTCCCTCATGCCCTGCCCCAAGCTCTGCTCCAGGCTCTGCTGCTCCCTACACTTGCACACCCTGAGCACCTCTTTCTTTGGATGGGTCATCATTCGGGACTCTAGGTCCCCTTCTGAGCTGACTGTTGATGAGTCAAACTGTCAGACCTCTCCGTGTTCCCCCCTTCCCTGACAAAACGTCCACCTGCTGGGAGGCCTTCTGATCCCCAGGCCCACCCTGCAGGCCCCCCCTCCCGCTGCCAAGGCCTCTCCCTCGCCAACTAGGCGCAAGTCTCCACCAAGGGGACTCCTCCTTATCTTCTGCCCCTGGCAACCGGCTCACCCTGCCTGACACGGAGCAGCATGAGCCCTTTTACTGGATCATTTCAAACCAACCAAAACATTTCTAGATGTTGTATGTGCCTAGAAAATTTAAGAATTCAGGTGGGATATCTTAAAATAGTTCTTATGCAGATTTTGCTATTTGAAATAAAATTTGCACATGGATTATAAAGTGCTTAAGGTCTATTAAGGGAAATGAAGAATACAGCAAACACTGATGACTCCTCACAGGGTTTAGGACACTGAAAGGCCTCACAAGTTTCCCAGGGCTTATCTCAGGCTTATCTCAGTAGGAGAACACTTTGTCTGCATGGCCTGTCATTGCTGCAGGGGGATTCCAGGACCCGAGAGACCCCCCAGACTCATTGTGGCCTTGAAGCAACCCTGTAGAGTTTGGGGAAGACACCTTCCAGAATGCTCCGGACTTTCCCTTGGGAAATGCATGGGATAATGCACAGGGGGACTCTGGCATCTCCTGTTGCTGCAGTCAGGAAAGAGCTGCATGAGGCCCGGCCCAGAGGCCCTGCTGGCTCAGGGAGGAGGACACCAGCTGGTGCCAGTTCTTCTAGGCACCTCTCCTCCTGCCGACATCTTAAGGGCAGGTGCTTGGCAGAAATGGTTCTGGAGTCAGCTGCCATGGGGTCTTTCACTTTGGGTGGCCATCGTGGGCAGCGACTCTGGCACAGGCTGAGCTCTCCTTGTGCGTCAAGGAGTCATGGCAGCCCTAGGTGAGTTGCGCTGCAAGGGATTGGAATGAGCGGGTTGTTACTATTTCTGCACTAGGAAAGCTTTTAAACTATAAGGACAGCAACATCGCCAGCCACTGTCCCTCATTTCCTGTGGTCCTAGGGGACATGAATGTCCTGAAGTGGGAGTCCCCTGTTGGGTGCATCTCCAGCAGGTGCTCCAGGGTAAGTCTGTCTCTGGATGGGTGGGCCATGGGGAATGATGAGGACCTGTGTTTGTCCAAGGAGTGCACAGAACTCGTGGCCGTGGGTGGGCACCCTCTGTCTCCTCTGTGCATTGCTCACCAGGTGCAGGTCTCTCTTCTGAGCCATGATCATTGTCCACAGCCAGGGCTCTTAGGAGCTGCTCAGCTGTCGGAGCCTGAGGGAAGCTGGCCAGGTAGTACCTGCTTTTCAGTTCGTTGGTGTGGGTCAAAGGCCAGGGAGCCCTGAACACAGTACAGGTTAAAGCCTTGGGCTCTGAGCTCCTCGGACCAAGATCCTGCCTTGCACTTTCTAGGCACAGTTAGCCAGAGATTCGACCACCCTGTCCATCACCTTGCTCATGTGGAAGATACAGATGACACAGGACTTAATGAGTAGTTCTGTTTTTGTAAGGATTACATGTGAAAAGCACAAAGTGCTTAGAAGGTCACCAGCACATAGTACAAGCTCAGTAAATTATTTGCTGAAGCCTCTCACTCTCCAGGGACAATGGGCTTTCCATTTTTACTGCACACTCAGAGGATTCGAGAAACGCTGAGCAGCTGCACCTCCTGAGCCTCCCTCTGCAATCTCGAAACTCAGGAGCAGCAGGGACTTGGCCATGCCCGGGCACAGCCAGGACGTGGCCGAGACATTCTAAACTGTGACTGGGCACCACGGTGCCACTTTGGAACTCTTTTCAATATATTTATGACAGGGACAATGGGAGCAGGGCAAATTCTTGAAACAGAGGCAGAAAGAGAGGAGGCAAGACCTCAGGGTGCCCAGCTGTTGGAAGGAACCTGTGTGACCATGTTTTCCTTGATCCGGGAGCAGGTGCAGTGAAGGGTACAGACTAGGGTGAGGGAACCCCAAGTGCCCTGCAGCGACCTCGGCCTTCACGGAGCTTCCGCCAGGTTTCCTCACAGAGGCCCAAGGGGCTGTCCAGTCCACTCAAATCTCCCGGACAGAAGACAGCTGTCTGCTGCCAGGAGGGAAAGCGGCAGTAAGAGCTCCGCCCTGAGTTGCCGGACAGTCCCAACAGGTCAACGGCTTTCACCAAAAGCCTGATTTATAAGCAGAACTGGAGAATTAAGCAATAAAGTAATGTGGAATGACATCAGAAAGAGTGCACAGCAAAATCGTCATCTCCAGAAGCTCAAATTCTGTGTTGCTCTAATCGTCTTGAATTGCACCGACTTTGAACCTACCAGGATGAATCCTGCAATTTTAGATCTTGATTCATGGGTTAGAAAAGGCAATACCCAATTCATGATTTAAAACCACCCCTTCATTACACCGTGATTACATCTCAATTTGTACCCAGTTGGCTTAGAGAAGACATGAAAATTATGCTAATAGAGTTGGAGGCGCCTGCCCAGGTTTCTGAGCAGGACGAGGACTTACTTGTTCAGGATTTTGGCTCTCTTAGCACTTGAGAAATTCTCCAGTTGCAAGGACTCTTGGGTGAGGAAAGCCACAGCCAGGTGAAAGTAGTTGTTCCATAGCTGAAAACCAAAACCGGGATGTGTTAAGTTGTTGAACGGCCTAATGTGTGATCTCCCAAAAGCTCTGAAACATTTATCATTTGCTTGACACAGACTTCTGAAATGTTTTTGAAAACCAGAGACCTGCCAGCCGGTCTCCACGATGTGTGGTGCAGGCTGAGCTGTGGCTTCCAGGTTGCAGTGTATGCCCTTAAACCCCAGCTCTGCAATTCACTGCACAGCTAATCTAACCTCTCTGTGCTTCACTGTCCTGATGAGTTGGGAATTCCAACAGTATCTCATTTGGCTTATGGGAGGCACCACCAAAGGCATGAAGTGAACAGAGGTGCAGACAGGGGCAAAGCTGCAGAGCCTGTAATGAACACTTGGCTCTTATGATCATCACATCTTGGTGCTCCTGGTGGAAGAAGAGCATGATAATTCACGATTCAGTTTTTTCAGTGCTGGGGACGGAATGCAGGGCCTTAGGCATGCTAGGAAAATGCTCCATCACTGACCCGTGCCCCAGCCCTTCTGATTTTTTTTTATTATGTCAAAAAACTTTATTCATACACTCAACAATTAAGGAAAACTTGTAAAAAGATCAAACACTTTATATTTTGAGGATTTATGGATGTGATTTAAAGACAGTATTTAAAAGAAATTCATCTACAACCAGGACTGTAATCAAATGAGTTTCAGAGTCATATTGAAGTAAGTATGGACTGTGGTTTTAGTTACCTGTGAGGGGCATGGACATTAGGGGCACTCATAGGCTTTAAGAGTGTGGGCTCCATTTCCTGGACCCTGCCTGGGAATGGGCACCTTCTATGGTAGCACATCTATGCCTCCGATTGCCACAGGGCTCAGGAGCCACAGCCTGTCCTGCCCCACAGAGGGCTGCAGACATGCCCAAAGCTGCAGGCCACACGTGACACTGGGCAGGTGCCCTGGCCTCACAGCCCGTGCATCTTCACTGCCAGAAGGGCCCTGCTGCTCTGGCCTCTTCTTATAGCAGGGGGGCTCCCACCCACAAACAAGTGTGTGGATTTTAATGTGTTGGGGTTCAGGCTGAGAATCCAGGGGACCTGTGGCAGCAATATAAAATACATTGTCACTGATGCTCTGGGAAGAAGGACCCCTCCCAAGTTGTTCCTTTTCTTTTGTTTTCAAAATGACCCCTCCCACCTATGTCCTCCTTCCATAGCACTCCAAGGACCCTGGCCATCACCAGCTGCAGCTGAGAACCACAGTCAGCACCTCTGCCAGGACGGGCCCGCTGTGTGCATGGTCCTAGAATTCATGAAATGTCAGATCTTAGGCATTTAAAGACAATGCACTAACACAGGGCGTTTCTTTTTAAATGACTGTGTCGCTAGCTCCTCACTCATTTTCTTCTAAGGACCAGGACTACTGTGGAGCCAGAAGCATTCATGGTATATCACCATGACTCCCCCAAACAAGAGTCAGGTTTGTCACATCTGCCAAGGTGCAGAGCTCCATGCTGAACATAAAGAGCACATGGCTTTTAGTGTGTTGGGGTTCAGGCTGAGAATCCAGGGGCTAACTCATGTAGCAATATAAAGTACATTGTTACTGATGTTCTGGGAAGAAGGACCCCTCCCAACAACCATGACTGCAACACACAGGAATCCACCAGCCTGCCATGTGCAAGGCCAGTCCAGATCTAATCCGAAAACCTCATGAAGGACACAAATACCGTGCCACATATTCCAGTAGGGGTTAGGAAAACACATGTAGGGTGAAGTCCCCCAACCCAAGTTTATTTATAAGTTCAGCAGAATTCCCAGTTAAAATCCAAGCAATGTGTGTTTAAAATAGAAATCTAACTAGCTGATTTTGAACATCATAGGGAAGAGGAAATGCACAAAAATAGCCAAGATAATTTTGCATTAGAAAATGAATCGGGAAGAACGGGCTCCACTGGCGGGGCCTAGAGAGGCAGGTACACAGCAAGAGGAGCTGACAGGCATATGTGTGCAGCCATGCTATCCATGGCCTTCAAGCCATCATGATATGTGGAGCAGAGTGACATCAGAGCCTCACCCCAAGCTAGCTGTCTCAAGCCCAGATGGAGCACCCCCGGAAAGCTAAGAAAGGGGGAAGGCGTGGACAACTCTGAAGCCAGCCTCTGCAACAGCGAGGTGCTAAGCAACTCAGTGAGACCCTGTCTCTAATTAAAATACAAAATAGGGCTGGGGATGTGGCCCAGTGGCTGAGTGCCCCTGAGTTCAATCCCTAGTTCCCCCCACCAAAAATAAAATAACAAGCAGGAAGGATTTGCCAAGCAAAACAAAACCAAATAGCTATAAAACAAATGTCAAATTTGAACAGAGACAAATTAAGTATTCAAAGCAGAAGCTTAAACCCATAACCAGGTTATATCAAGGACTCCAACACTGTATATATGTGTATGTATATAGATAGATGTATAGATAAATATACCCTCATACATATCTATATAGAGATGTGTGTATCTACACCCACACACACACACACAGCCCAACAGAAAAATAAGCAGAGGAGATGATTAGACAGTTTGCAGTTGAAATTCTGTAGCTGGACGGTATTCTCAAGCTAACTAGTCCTTGGGAAAATGCTAATAAAACAAAAATCAACAATATCAAAGAAGTTAGTGCTAGAGAAGATTCTGCTGCTGTCAAAGAAGACTGGGGAGATTGCCAAGGGCTACAGCATTTTGAGACAGCGGCTCGTCTCTTCCATCGGGCTTAAACCTTCCTAGCCCACCTGGCCATTAACCTATCTACGCCCACACCTGCACAGTGACGCACAGGTCTCACAACTCATGGCAGCAGGTCTAGGGTGGTGATAAACTGGAAGCAGCTTCTAGGTAGTCAGCATGGAAATGCTGGGTGAGTGCTATACATTGTATTGCAGAATATGACTGGACTGCAGACACAAAATAGGAACTAATTCATGTTAAAAGCAACAGGCAACAGGTGGGGGACTGCAGAAGCACATGAAGGGTCAGGGAGAGCACGCGGCAATTAGTCACAGCTGCTATTCCAGAGCAGGGACGAGAGCTGTAAGGGGCAGGAGGAACTTCCCAGTAAACCCCAGGCACTGCCCATGCCCGGCTGCCACAGAGGACATGTCTGTGTCTATGAGGTGAAAATAAGCACCAGCAAGAAGACGATAAAAAATTAGAAATTATAAAAAGTCACATTGTTACCTGGTATATTATGACTATAATAGTATACAAACCTGAGAGATTAGAAATTTAAAATTAAAAAACTATAAAAGAAATAAAGTGTACATGCCTCAGAACTTCACCTAAAACACTATGTATCACATTAGCTGTGCATTTTCTGGAGGCTGGATGTACGGGAGAGTTCACAGGTATCTAATTTCTATTATCTGATGACACATTTTTGGATTAGCTGCTGAGAGTATATACATTTTTTTTCAGGGTCCTTCTTGGTGAGCAATCCTACCCAGAAAATAAAAATACCATTTGCATTCTTTTTTATTTGCAGACTTTTGGAAAATATTTTAAGTAATAATGAGAAATAAAATCACCATTAACAAAAACACATCTGAAGTGCAACGGGATTGAGAGCCACTGATCCCAGATGCACAGTAGGGCATTGTGCCACCCTGATGGTGCATACACCATATGCATGCCACACACACACACACACACACACACACACAAGCAGTGCACTAACGAGATCTTTCTGAAATTGGTGGACTAGGTGATGACAACCCTGGGGCTGGGGACACAGGTGGCACAAAGCCAGGAGACAGTATCAGGGAAACACAGCTCTACAGCAAGCTGAGTGCGGATCCCTCTTCTGCGCCTCAGGACAGGCAGAGAGATCTTGGCAGCCACACACTGAGGCTCGGGCCTCCTGCATGGAGAGTCCCTCCCTGTCACTCTGATTCTCTCTGAAACAACTCCATCTCCTAACTCGCTAAATTGAGCAAACACCCCGGAGGCGTCATTTCGCTCCTCCAGCTGCAATAGTACATACTGTAAATTTCATTTCCACACCTCGGATGGAGACCAATTAAGTTCAAGGATTAGGAATATAAACCAAGGAGCGCCCATCAGCCATTTGTTTTAACACGATTCCTCCGCAAAGGTCGCGTCTGCCTCTTCTCTTACCTGTAGCTCAAAGTTGGCTTGGTCCAGAAATTTCTTGTTCAGCATATCTGCATACTGATTAATCGCTCGCAGGAAGACTCTGAAAGATCAAGAGAAAATTACATAATTACACACTCAGGCTCTGGCACCTCTGTGGGCTTGGCATTTCAATTAGACACCACCCCAGACTGTCTGGGATGTGAAGCCTCCAAGTCCTGTGCAAAGCTGGGAGGCTTGGCCAATGAAAAGCTCACAGAATTCTATGCAGATGTTCTCCAAATTTAATCAAGGAAATTAGAACATGCAGAATGAAGGAAACACCAAAATAAAAGCTCTGAAAGTAACATTTGAGAAGTATTACTGGAAAAAAAATCTAATTAAAAAAAAAGGTGCAAATAAAATCCCTTCTTGGAGTTGCAACGACTTAATATTTTATTATTAAATGATCTTTGCTTAGCTGGCTTTTTAAAGCCATAAATTTGAAAGTGCTGTCAGCATACACACAAGCAGGCTAGGAATGGGTTTGGTGCAGCACCACTGTGTTGGGTGTATGGCTGGTTTCAGTATCGTCTGCCCCATGAGCCACAGGCTAATTTGGACCCTCTTTACATGTTAAAATGAAAAATTTTTAGTGGATAGAGAAGTTATTTGATAAGAATTTTCACTGGGATTTCAATTCCTTGAATCATTAATAATATACCATTTTAAGCACAGTCTTCCATTCCTTGGCGTTTTCTTTCCTATGGTGAGATTCGCAATTTGGGCTGTCCCAAATGACAGCAGAGTACTGTGTTTCCCAAGCTCACTCATTCAGTAGATTTGTTTTACAACCCTCAAAAGTGTTGACATAAAGCTTCGACCAGCTCCTTCTTTGCAAAGGGCCCTCTCCCCCTGCAAAGATGAGGCTGCAGGAGGAACTGGCATCAGGTCACAGATAATGAACTTAATTACACTGCTCCATTCAGACAGCAGGAAGCAGCCAGAGTGTAAGGCAGATCTAGGTTACTTACTACCACCTGCTGCTCTCTGACAGCATTCTCTCTCTCTTTAGCTCAGCTCTCCTGGAGAAGTGCCCTGCCCTTGCCATCCCAGAGGTGTTCAAGGCCAGTGTGCGTGGGAGGAGGGAGGGAGGGGTGCTCCACCTTACCAGCACTGCCACCCCACCTCGCCCAGTGCATACTGCCCCACAGTGTCTCGCCCACTCATCCTGCCTGCAGCTCTGAGAAAGGGGACATGCAGACACCATTTCCTCAAGAAGCCTATCAGCTGGAGGGAGGGCCCACACAGGTGTGCCACAGGGACCCCCCCCCCCCCCCCAGTGCTGGAGCTTGCTCTCAGTCATGGAAAAAAGCTTCAGACAGACTGATCTGGGTTCTTCCCTGGGGATGTTATAATACAGCCGGAATGGAGGACTGAGTGTCTTTAAGTAGCTGTTAATGGAGGGCTGTGGGGATCACTGCCTTGTCCATCACCCAGAGCCCAGCTGGGCAGCAGCACCCATCAGCTCCAGGGCTGCCAGATTTTGCAAATAGAGAATGCCCAGTTAAATTTGAAAAATAGCTCTTGTTGCTGAAATTTGTAATTGCCTTTTAAAAAAATAAACTGAAAATACTACATTTGGGCATCCTGACAAAGTTGTGTGGAACCCAGGGAAAACATTACAGAAAACAGGACTTGCCTCTTGTGCATAGGAGGCCTGGAAAGTGGTCGGTGCTTGGTCTTGGACTGGGGTCTGCCGCCCCACATTCAGTCCTTAGAGCAAAGACATGAGGCTAAAGAGAAGACGGGCCATCCTACCCACCTGATGCTCAGCACTTGTATGCAGATGGCCACTGGGGATGCACACTGTATTGACCCTGGGAATTACAGACCATGCCCTGGGCAGCAGCTTCCCAAACCCCAGGGTAGGCTCCCAAACTCAAAAGCACAGACCATAACATTTTTTCCCTTAATTTTTTCCTTCAGCTTTAGAACAGGGTCCCTATGAACTCAAAGAAGACACTGTCTCCAGCTCTCTATGACAATAAAGACAAGTTTACTAGAACATGCATTATTATTATACGGTAATTATTTTGCCTCAAGATAGCACCCAAATAGTTGCAATATGCTACTTATAATTAAGCTTTGAAACAATTCCAGTTAGCTAAATAAAGATATTTCTTAAAATGTTTTTTTCTTTTTATAAAAAAAAAACACATATCATGCTGAAATGATATAAAGCCTGAACAAAAACTTTTTAATGAACTGTCAACTGTGAAAGAGCAGTGCAGAGAGATAGACTCTAATATAAATTTTTTAAAAAGGAAGGAGAGAAAAAAAAATACAGAAGGTAAGTTCTATGAGGAAAATTAAAGGAGAGATGGCATGAAAACCGTAATCAGGGCAGTAAATAAAGATCAGAGGAAGCTCAGGCGCAGTGCATGAAGGGTGGTGTCACTTGCTAGAACCATCCAGAACAAACATAAACATCTTCCATTTCACACTCGCTGGGATGAAAGACCTAGCCACGTTCTCGAGACCATTTGAAGATAAATCAATTAGCTAACTAGGCAAAAAGAAACATAAACAGAGACTTTTAGGTAAGAATATCTATTATCCAATGTAATTAATAAGTTACTTCTAATAAATGTCAAACTGGGGAGCATAAATAAGGAAATCCCATTAGAAGCTTAGCATAACGATCGCCATCAGTAGCAGAGGAGCAGGAGGAGGATACAGGCGAGCCATGTACCTGGACTGAGGGCAGAATACCTCTCCAGACAGAACCAAGGGCTGCGCTGGACTCCGCAAGGCAAGATGGCCACTGTTTTTCAGGGAGTCAGTTGGAGGGACGGTGGGTGCAGGGGGCTTGCCTCTGAGTCCCTGATGCAGCTCTATCTATGCCAGACACTGGGGGAGTTGGCCCAGGCTTAGGAAGTCCTCCAGACCAGGAATAAATGACAGCAATCTTAAAGGCAGTGGATACACCTACTAGTGCCTCTGAGAACCCGTGTCTACTCAGCACCTGGCTCCTGGATATGCTCACTAGGTAACTGTCGCAGGAATGCATGCAGGAATGAGTGTATGGATGGGTGAGCTGGCCCGGATGGGGGAGCTGGTCAGACTCTGACCCAGCTGGGAGGCTCAGGGAGGCCAGGGTGTTCCGTAGCCTCTTCTCTCCCAGAGTCCTTGAATTCCAGGCAGACCTTTGGTGGCCGGTGGCAGGGCTCCACTCCTTTCAGGTTCCTGTTAGTCCCATTCTCATTAAGCATTTGCATGATGGCTGGGTGTTGTCCCCCCCACTCCTCTCGTCTGCCTTCATTCATTTCTCCTCTCCTTGATGGCAAGAACCTTGTCTTTTACATATCAGGGTCCCCCAGTGTGCCTACAAGAACCTCCTGCCATGGCACATATTCTAGAAGGCCCTGCTTGAAGGAGCCACTAGTTTATGATGTGCTAATAGATCTCTCTGAGCCAAGGTGTGCGTCCAGGACTTTCCCCCGAAAGAACAAAACAGAAACAATCAAAAACACCCTGAGCTTGCTCCAGTGAAGAGGTGGAGTCCTCCGCCCGGCAAGCTCAGCGTCTGTTCTCCCCACTCAACTCTGTAGTGGGGAAGCCTCAGGTCACAAAGAGGCCAGGCTGGGCACGACCCAGGGAACGGGAGAGGTGTTTGTAGAAACCAGGGAACTGGAAAGGCAAGAGCTGCTTCCACTCTTCCAGAAAAGTCAGGGACTTCAGGGGAAGAGATCAATCACTAAATAAGGAATGTCTCATTCCGAGCCAGGAGAATTAGGAAACTTCTAAGAAACAAAGCCGATGGTATGAAAATTTTAATGTTGTCAAGGACACTGTCCCAAATGATTAAAAACAGGGCAAGCCTGCATTTAATAGAGTTCTTTTCAATCATTTTTAATCTAAGGAAGGATTTATATATAATCTAAAATTTTAGAAGATAAAATCAAACCTACAGATGATGCAGAGAGAATCAAGGGCAAATTATATCATCCTAAGAAGGTCCAAAATGCCATAAGGCAAGAAGCCTGCAAGTATTTCCTTCCTTCCTTCCTTCCTTCCTTCCTCCCTCCCTTCCTTCCTTCCTTTTGGTGGTGCTGGGGATAAGCCCAGGGCCTCTAGTGCACTAGGGAAGAACTCTACCACTGAGCCCCAATCCAGTTGATTTTATTCGTCCCTGTTCTCGGTAACTCCTGTGTCCAGCATTACCCTCTTTTAACAATTTGGGACCAGTGGTAAATGGAGGCAGTTCATTCCCAGGACCAGATAATTCAACAAACAAATGAACAAACCAATCCGGGAAGTTTTCCCATCTTCCTTCTCTTTCACCCTGGACATTTAACCCTAGGGAGCTCCACTTGAAACAACACACAGTTAAATCCTGACATGTCACACGTGAGTTTAAGTGTAGTCGGCACACATACACATGTGTACAACTGAAGTCTCCGGCCAAAGGCTTCAGGTTCACAGAGACGCTGGGCCACACGACCTTCAGTAAGTTGCTCAGCAGCAGGAACATGTGATCCTCATGTGAGGTGTGACGGATGTGTCCATCATCTTGACTTAATTGACACACAGGTCTGCGTACACCAGACAGGGTGCCCCTAACGTATACCATCAGTATTTGTCACTTTAAAATAAATGTTACAATAAATAAAGAAGTGACTCAAGTTCTTGAGATTCTCACATGTTCCACTAGAGACAAAGCCACACAGCTGTGGCACCTCTAAGCTCCCAGAACTTTGAATCCATAGGCTTGGTTTTGTTCTTGACTTGGAGACAGAGGTGAGAAAGAGATATGACCACATCATACAAGTCTCAGAACACTATGATCTCCAACGACACTTCACAAAATTTTAAGTCCCATTTGGTATGAGGGAAAGACATGTCTGATGACTTCTGCACTCTGCTGTCTTGGGGGCTCGGGCGGGGTGTGGACTGGGAAGGCTGCACCTGCAGGAGACACTGGGCACATGTTAAGCCTCTTGGGTTGTGATGTTTCCAGGGGGCGTCCAGCCAGCCTGGCTTCTCAGTCCACATGACACTCCTGTCTTGCACAGAAAGGGCCAGGGGCTGCCTATGGCTCTGGAAGGAGACCATCTCAAA